TGAACATTCCCCTTTCAACTAGTGATTCAATTACACAGAATCAGCAGCATGCATGTCATGACTGTTGGGTCTGTTGGATTTCTATTACTCTACTACACCTGCTAGTAAATTATTTGCCATGTAGAAATAAGTATTTGATCCTCTGCTGATTTTGAAAGTTTGCCCACTAACAAAGAAATGATCAGTCTAAAAATCGAATGGTAGGTGTATTGAAACACTGAGAGACAGAATAGCAACAAAAAATTCAAAAGAAATGCATGTCTAACAAATTATGCACTGATTTGCATGTTCATGAGGGAAATAAGTACAATTGTGTTCAAAATAATAGCAGTCAGACATCACTAACCTAATCAATCACTGTTTTTGGTAAAAATGATATTTCCTTCACTGTACTGCTGATTGGTCCGTTGCTGTTGCTAAGAGAGAGGGGAGAGTCCACACACAGTTCTGTTTTGTGGGTAAACTCTAAAACTGCCGACAGGATGAGGAGGAGGGGGGGGGGGGAATTTAAGGGACCCAGCTACAAAGTTTTGACTAAAGTTTAATAATGCCCCCCTTGGCAGGAGGATAAAAAAAAAAAGGGGTTCTTCTTTAAAGGCCTGTGCAGATAAGGGATGCATGTATATAAAAGCCATCTGTGTAATCTGCATGTGAGGGGGGTTGAATCAGAGAAAGGCCCCTTTCACATCTGGCAGACTGCACTCAGGTGGATGACAGGTCCATGTCCACTCAGTTTATGCAAAGTGACATGGACACGGCCCGCTTTGCTCTATGAGCAGTCAGATGAAAACAGACTGGCTGTCCTTTTACACCCTACTGCCCTCTGATCTGCCCAGATGGGAGGGAACAGATCCCCTTCTGTTTGTTTTTGGTGAATCGGATTGGAGGTAGGTAGGTGTAGACAGACAAGTCCGTTTACACCCGCCGCTCAATAGTGCAGAAAGGAGGTTCTGATCGGATCCCCCAGAAAAAAAAGACAGGCGGATCCAATTGGAACTTGTGTGAAAGGGGCCAAAGTTCACGCCTGTGCTGGTAATGTTGGGCAGTAACACTAGGCTTCTCTAAGCAAAGTCCTAGGAGTTTTTCCAGCCAGGCTTCAAGAGGTATGTAAATGGCCTGCACCTATAGCAAGGGCATTATTCAACTTTGTTTTTTATCTAGATATTCCTTATCTGCACAGGCCTTTTAAAGAGGAACCCCATCATTTTGTGTTTTCATTATCCCTTTTACTGTTTTCATTAAAGTGGAGTTCCACTCACCCTGTCACAAAATTGTTACAAATACTGTAGCTACTGACTTTTTAAAAAACAGCCACTTACCTGTCCCACAGTCCCGCGGTGTGTCCCCCGCAGCCTGTTTCACCGGCCGTCCTGCATTCCAGGATGCCGGCATCTTCAGTGTGGGCACCTGGCTGTGCAGCTTGCGGCTTCGTGAATGGTCCTGTAGTCTTCTGGGACCTGTCACATGTCACGTGTCCCAAAAGACTACAGGGAGGGAGGACACCTTCCGCTTCTGATCGCCTAAGCGAACGGACCGGAAGTGGGAGTGGGTACCTGTCAAATTCGGGGTATCCACTCACTCCCCCCCCCCCCCCTGCAAGGTGCCAATCCTTAATGAGAAGCAGTCCTTAAAGCGGAATGTCCCCTTTTGGGTGGAGCTCTGCTTTAAGGCATCCACTATAAAATACTCCATATGACTAGCGAATTCAGCCTTGATCTGCTGTGATCCACTGCCACATGCAGGGTGCCACGTCGTCATCTTGCTTCCTATGTCACCAGGAGCAGTCTCTTCCTTCTAGGTTGTGACAGCCAGTTCCCTGAAAACGTCCAGCCAGGTCCCGCCTCCTCCAGCAGCACTGTGGAAGCTGATGCCTCCTGGGCTATGTGACGGTACATATCTCAGGAGGCATCAGGAGCGGAGGAGAATTCATTATCACCTAGGGGAAAACAGAGGCGGGGGCAAGAGAGGGGAAAACAGAGGCGGGGGCAAGAGAGGGGAAAACAGAGGTGGGGGCTAGAGAGGGGAAAACAGAGGCGGGGGCAGGAGAGGGGAAAACAGAGGCGGGGGCTGGAGAGGGGAAAGCAGAGGCAGGGGCTGGAGAGGGGAAAGCAGAGGCGGGGGCAGGAGAGGGGAGAATAGAGGCGGGGGCAGGAGAGGGGAGAACAGAGGCGGGGGCTGGAGAGGGGAAAGCAGAGGCGGGGCTGGAGAGGGGAGAATAGAGGCGGGGGCAGGAGAGGGGAGAACAGAGGCGGGGGCAGGAGAGGGGAGAACAGAGGCGGGGGCAGGAGAGGGGAGAACAGAGGCGAGGGCGGGGGCAGGAGAGGGGAGAACAGAGGCGGGGGCAGGAGAGGGGAGAACAGAGGCGAGGGCGGGGGCAGGAGAGGGGAGAACAGAGGGGGGGGGCAGGAGAGGGGAGAACAGAGGCGGGGGCAGGAGAGGGGAGAACAGAGGCGGGGCAGGAGAGGGGAGAAAAGAGAGGGGGGGCAGGAGAGGGGGGAGAACAGAGGGGGGGGCAGGAGAGGGGAGAACAGAGGCGGGGGCAGGAGAGGGGAGAAAAGAGAGGGGGGGCAGGAGAGGGGAGAACAGAGGCGAGGGCGGGGGCAGGAAAGGAGAGAACAGAGGCGGGGGCAGGAGAGGAGAGAACAGAGGCGGGGGCAGGAGAGAGGGGAGAACAGAGGTGAGGGCGGGGGCAGGAGAGGGGAGAACAGAGGCGGGGGCAGGAGAGGGGAGAACAGAGGGGGGGCAGGAGAGGGGAGAACAGAGGACAGAGGCGGGGGCAGGAGAGGGGAGAACAGAGAGGGGGGGCAGGAGAGGGGGGGGCAGGAGAGGGGAGAACAGAGGACAGAGGCGGGGGCAGGAGAGGGGAGAACAGAGGCTGGGGGGGGCAGGAGAGGGGAGAACAGAGGGGGGGCAGGAGAGGGGGGAGAACAAAGGACAGAGGCGGGGGGCAGGAGAGGGGAGAACAGAGAGGGGGGGCAGGAGAGGGGAGAACAGAGGCGGGGGCAGGAGAGGGGAGCAGGAGAGGGGAGAACAGAGGCGGGGGCAGGAGAGGGGAGAACAGAGGCGGGGGCAGGAGAGGGGAGAACAGAGGCGAGGGCGGGGGCAGGAGAGGGGAGAACAGAGGCGGGGGCAGGAGAGGGGAGAGAACAGGGGGGGGGGCAGGAGAGGGGAGAACAGAGGCGGGGGCAGGAGAGGGAGAACAGAGAGGGGGGCAGGAGAGGGGAGAAAGAGGCGGGGGCAGGAGAGGGGAGAAGAGAGGGGGGGCAGGAGAGGGAGAACAGAGGACAAGGGGGGGCAGGAGAGGGGAGAACAGAGAGGGGGGGGCAGGAGAGGGGAGAACAGGAGGACAGAGGTGGGGGCAGGAGATGGGGGGGAGAACAGAGAGGGGGGCAGGAGAGGGGAGAACAGAGAGGGGGGGCAGGAGAGGGGAGAACAGAGGCGGGGGCAGGAGAGGGGAGAACAGGGGGGAGCAGAGGGGGGGCAGGAGAGGGAGGGGAGAACAGAGGGGGGGAGAACAGAGGAGAGGGGGGGGCAGGAGAGGGGAGAACAGAGGCGGGGGCAGGAGAGGGGAGAACAGAGGGGGGGCAGGAGAGGGGAGAACAGAGGTGGGGCAGGAGAGGGGAAGAACAGAGAGGGGGGCAGGAGAGGGGAGAACAGAGGCGGGGGCAGGAGAGGGAGAGAACAGGGCAGGGGGCAGAGAGGGAGAACAGAGGGGGGGCAGGAGAGGGGAGAACAGAGGGGGGGGGGCAGGAGAGGGGAGAACAGAACAGAGGCGGGGGCAGGAGAACAGGAGAGGGAGAGAGGGGGGGCAGGAGAGGGGAAGAACAGGGGGGAGAACAAAGGAGAGAGGGGAGAACAGAGGCGGGGCAGGAGAGAGAGAGAGAACAGAGGCGGGGGCAGGAGGAGAGGAGGAGAAAGAGGGGGGGGGGGAACAGAGGGGGGGGGGGAGGGAGAAAGAGGAGGGGGGGGCAGGAGAGGGGAGAACAGAGGGGGGGGCAGGAGAGGGGAGAAACAGAGAGGGGGGAACACGGCAGGAGAGGGAAGAACAGAGGCGGGGGCAGGAGAGGGGAGCAGGAGAGGGGAGAACAGAGGCGGGGGCAGGAGAGGGGAGAACAGAGGGGGGGGCAGGCAGAGGGGAGAACAGAGGCGGGGGCAGGAGAGAGGAGAACAGAGGCGGGGGGCAGGAGAGGGGAGAACAGAGGGGCGGGGGGGCAGGAGAGGGGGAGAACAGAGAGGGGGGGGGAGGGGGCAGGAGAGGGGAGAACAGAGGGGGGGGCAGGAGAGGGGAGAACAGAGGGGGGGGGCAGGAGAGGGGAACAGGGGAGGGGCAGGAGAGGGGAGAACAGAGGCGGGGGCAGGAGAGGGGAGAACAGAGGCAGGAGGGGGGCAGGAGAGGGGAGAACAGAGGGGGGGGCAGGAGAGGGGAGAACAGAGGCGGGGGCAGGAGAGAGGAGAACAGAGGGGGGGGCAGGAGAGAGGAGAACAGAGGGGGGGGGGCAGGAGAGGGGAGAACAGAGGGGGGGGGGGCAGGAGAGAGGAGAACAGAGGGGGGGGCAGGAGAGGGGGAGAACAGTGGTGGGGGCAGGAGAGGGGGAGAACAGAGGCGGGAGCAGGAGAGGGGAGAACAGAGGGGGGGGGGGGGGGGCAGGAGAGGGGAGAACAGAGGCTGGGGGGGGGGGGGGAAAAAACGGTTAAATAAGAAAAAAGTCATGTTTTTTTGATTAGGGGGGGGGGGGGGGGGATACAATGGTGTAAAGTCATTTTTCTGAGTGAGTCTGCTTTAGAACAACACAATTGTGTCCAGCTCTCTGCCTACAAGGAAACAGCTAACAATGTGAAAGCGGAAGCCAGCATTCTGACACACAACGTCTTTGATTTCGACTCCTTAGAAACAGAAAAGACGCATAAGCCCAGTGCTGCTGTAAAAAAAAAAAAAAAAAAGCAGCAGCAGCGCCGTCAAGGAAATAAACCCTTCCTCAGACTTCGATAAGGTTTCTTACCTGCAAGGAGGAGCCCCCTTCCGTGAAATACATTCAGGGTCCTCGGCGGCCACCGTAGCCGGGAGGGCGAGAGTGTGCGGTGCAAGCCTCCACCTGGAGCGGCGACGTCATGGGGCTGGTCAGGGCGGAAGAGCAAAAGCAAAGAGATTTTCCGCTCTCTTCTTACAGAAAAGGGGACGATGACTGTTACCATGGCGCTTAAACATTACATTTTTTCTCTTAGTAATTGTGGCTTGCGGGTGACACCGTAATATCTGGAGTCTTTGGCAGCATTTGTAGATTGTGGGGTTGTGGTTGTATTGAGTGTGAGTTGCAAAAAAATATCACCTCGTAGAGAAGAGAGGATTTTGTCATTGCTTTGTAGACACTAATGCCCTGTACACACGATAAGAATGTTGGACGAATGATCATCCGTAACGCACAAAAAAAAATTAAAAGTAATGTATTTTCGGACAGCTACTGTACTGATTTAACGAAAAATTTGATTTTTTTCTACATACCTGTAAAATCCATTTTTTCTTGGAGTACATGACTGTGTGTTATGGGTCAATGATAGGTGAATGGACACTGGCCAACCAATCAGAGAGGAGGTCCTCTCCTATATAACCCCTCCTCAGTTTTTTTTGCACGCAATGACATTCCAGAATGAGGGGTGGGACCTCTGTGTCCCGTGATGTACTCCAAGAAATAGTTTTTACAGGTAAGTGTAGAAAAAATCCAGTTTTCTTTATCGTACATCATGGGACACAGAGCAGGCTGTTCGTGAGTATGTGGGATGTCCTAAAGCAATAAGAAATTTGAGGGGAGGGTGACATCATGATAGCCGTCGTCAATAATCCCTCAAGACCTAATCAGCTGTCCGTAAAACACTGCGGCCAAAGGCAGAATCCTCTGCGACTCTGACATCCACCTGGTAGAACCTTGTGATTGTGTGAACCGAAGACCATGTAGTGGCCTTGCAAACCTGAGCCACTGACGCCTGATGGCAGATTGCCCAAGATGCCCCCACAATCCTGGTGGAGTGTGCCTTCACCCAAAAGGGTGGGACTTTACTTTTCAAACCATAGACTTGAATGATCACTTGGCGGATCCAGTGAAAAATCACCTTGGATGCCGCCTGCCCTTTCCTAGACCCTTTGGCAGCAGAAATAGAGCATCTGACCTGTGCTGTCACTTTCAAGAAGATCCTTGCAGCAAGAACCACATCCAAGGTATGGAGAGATCTCTCTCTTGCTGACTGAGGCCCAGGAAAGAATGAAGGCAGAACGATGTCTTGATTGAGATGAAAACCAGAAACCACCTTTAGTAAAAAGCACGGATGAGGTCACAACCACTACCCTATCATAATGCAAAACCAGAAATGGTTATCTCCAAGGTAGAGCTGCGAGCTTTGACACCCTTCTTGCAGAAGTGATTGCTACTAGAAACAACACCTTACGAGTCAACAGGGCAAGTGGAATCTCTCCAGTAGGTTTAAATGATGGCTTTTGCAAAACCTCCAAAACCAAGTTCAGGTCCCAAGGACACAAAGGCAACCTGACAGGAGCCGTACGCATTACTCCTTGTATAAAAGGGCAGACCAAAGAGTGAGACGCAATGGGCCTCTGGAAAAAAAATAACCAATGCTGAAACCTGGCCCTTAATGGTACCAGCAGCCAAATCTTTCTGCAATCCTGGTTGAAGAAATGACAGAATCCTGCCAATCACATACTTTCGTGGGTGCGATTTTGTGAACCTCACACCAGGCAATGTAAGCCTTCCAGGTTCTGTAATAAATGTTCATAGAAACTTCCTTTCTAGCACCCAACATGATGGGGATGACAGAATCAGACAGTCCCCTATCCTTCAGGATCTGGGTTTCAATAGCCATGTTGTCAAATTTTTAGCGACCATAAAGCTGGGTGCAATATGGAACCTTGAGAAATGTCTGGCCGATACGGCAGGGCCTGTGTCCCATCTAATGCTATCTTCACTATGTCCATGTACCAGGCCCTCCTGAGGCAATCTGGAGTCATCAGTATAGACTCCTCCCGAATCCTGCGTAAAAGACGCAGCAGCAGTTGGATCAGAGGAAAGGCATAAATCAGTGAGAACTGGTTCCAAGAGATCACTGGGCGTTTACCCCTGCAGCATGAGGTTCCCATACTCTGGACACAAAAAGACCGACCTTGTTGTTGAACCTGGATGCCAATAGAACTACATTTGGGCAACCCCATTGCTGGTAGACTTCCTGGAAAACATAGGGATGCAAAGCCCATTCCTCTGTTATCAACTGTCGGCGACTGAGATAATCCGCCTGCCAATTTTTCACACCTGGAATGAACACTGATGACAGACTTGGAACATATCTCTCTGCCCAGGTCAGAATGTAGTTCACCTTCTGGGCACCTCAGCTCCTGGAACCATCCTGGTGGTTGATGTATGTGACTGATGTGGCAGTTTCGGACTGAATCCTTACAAGCCAACCCTGAAGCTTGGATGTCCAATATCTCAGAGTCAGCCTCACTGCTCAAAGTTCCAGGACATTGATGGCAAGAACCCTTTCCCGTGGAAGCCATGTTCCCTGAACTGTGGCCTCCTCCAGAACAGCCCCTCAACCTGAAAGGATTGCATCGGTGGTTACCAACTTCCACACCACTGGCCAAAAGGATCTTCCCTTCTCCAAATTGTGAGTTATCAACCACCAATGCAGGTTCTGCTGCACCTCTGGAGACAGAGATATGCAGTAATCCAGAGTCAGAATCTTTTTGTTCCAAACAGACAGATTGTACCTTTGCAGCAGTCTGGAGTGGAATTGAGCATATGGAATAGCCTCGAATGAGGACACCATCTTCCCCAGCAACCTCATACTGAGGCAAATTGAAGGATACCTCTTGGCCTTCAAACTGCAAACCTCGTTCCTCAGAATGCAATGTTTCTCTAAAAGCAGAAATACCATTGACTGAACTGTGTCTAGGACCATCCCCAAATACTCCAGGCTCTGCACTGGTTCCAGGGCCAACTTCTTGAGGTTGAGCACACAGCCCAGCTGTTCCAGGATCTGCATCGTAAGGACCACATCCTGCTTCAGATCTGGCACCGACTGATTTCTGGGGAAGAGATCGTCTAGACCTGTAGACCTATACTCCCCGTGTTCTGAGTAGCCCCAACCCCGAAGCAAGAATTTTTGTGAAAACTCTGGGAGCTGTGGCCAGACAAAATGGTAGTGCTATGGACTGGAACTGCTAAGCCTCTGCTGCAAACCGCAGAAATGTTTGGTGAGGAATGGATATTGGTACATGCAGGTATGTGTCCTTGATGTCTATGGATGCTAAAAAATCTCCCTCCTGTAGAGAGGCCACTACTGACCGAACCAATGCCATACAAAATGCTTGGACATATAGGGACTGATTTATCCCCTTGAGGTCCAAAATAGGCCTTACATCCCCATTTGGTTTTGGGACTGTAAACAGGTTTGAATAAAACCCCTGAAACCTTTCGTCCACTGGAACCTCTGTGATTACTCCTTGAGCCAATAGGCAATTGAGTGCTTGAAACAAAGCTCTTTTCTTTGGATTTGTTTTTGTACATTTGATCTTAGAAACCTGGGAGAGGGAAATACCCGAAATTCTAGTCTGTACCCAGAGAAATTCTGTAAATTATCCATTTGTCTTGGATTAGAGCCCTCAATGCAGCCACAAAATTGAAAAGCCCCCCCCCCCTACCTGAACAAGTGGGGGAACCCCTACATAAAGAGCCAGACTTTGGATCTGTCTTAGAAGACTTTTGCACCCAGGGCCTCCTTGAGTTTTGATTCTGAGATCTACTCCTAGAGGCTGGGACCGGTGTGTGGTGAAACGACTGCCTGGTAGATGAGGGCCCAGCAACCAAAGCCCCTGACACCTTAAAAGAAGAGTGTTTAGATTTCCTCTTAGAGGGTAGAAGAGTATTTTTACCTCCTGAAATCTTTTGGATATATTTGTCCAAAGCTTCCCCAAACAGCCATTCCCCATGAAAGGGAAAACCTGCCAACAATTTTTTGCATAGCATTTCTGCTGACCAACTCTTCAATCACAAAACCTTACACATGTGCACTGATAAGAGGGCTAAGGGAGAAATTTTCCGAAATGAATCCTTAAGAGTATCAATCACAGAACATCCTCAAATTCCTCTGTTGAGCATTCACCCTGCCCTGATTGTCTTCCAATCCATTTCTAGACACGGTCAGAAAGACTCTGGAAAATGCCAATAGCTGCCACAGCTGGCTGTGCGGCAGAACCTGACAGAGTAGGAGGCCTTAAGGAGAGACTGGGGGAGAACTAACTTGGTGTCACTGACACTGTACTAATGACACTGGGCAGGAAGGGGTTAATGTGAGGGGAAATCAAAGGGTTAACCGTGTGCTGGAAGTGTTTTACTAGGGGGTGTTCTTCACTGTAAGCACACTGATTGAGTTGGCTGTACTGTGCACAGCCATCCCGAGCAGTGTGCTTGAGCTGACAGGGAGGAAGACTGTAAACAAAACAATCTTCCTCCCTGTCGGAGATGCTCGGTAATCAATCGAATAGCAGTGCGGGTAGGGCGCATGCGCGGCTCGATATTTCCTACCCGTAAATGCAAAATGACATATATACGTGATTCTACGCACAGGTGCTGGCCTGTAGCAATATATCTGCTATAGGGTGGTCCTTAAGCGGTTAAAGTGTTACTAAACCCACAACAGTAAAATCAGTCAGTATATGCAGTAAAGCATGCTTGTTATACTCACTGTGGAACCTAAGAGGTTAATCTTCTGCATTGTGTAAAAAGGCTGTTTGATCCTGACTTCCCTGATCCTCCCCTTATTCCAATGTCCCCCGCTTATCTCCTGATAAGACATATCGAGTGGCGTCACTTTGCACATGCTCAGTTTGTGTGTATTGCTAGAGAGGTTTTTTTTTTTTTTCTTGAGAGAGTGCATGTGATCAGCACAGGGCCAATTAGCACTGTCCAGACAGAGGTCAGAGGCTCAGCATCCTCCTAGGGTGAAATTAAAACTCCTACAAGCTTTAACATGTGCTCTGCTGGACACTGATAGAAGTCACAATACTGCTCTAA